GCAAACCCCAGGCACAGGAGCAGGGTCTTGGCGGCCAGGATGTACAGCAGCAGGGGGAAGTTATCCAGGGCCTGCAGAGAGAGGTCAGAGGTCAGCTAGCAAGGACCGAGCCAGTGAAAGACCCCAAGAAGTACTCGCACAATCCATGCACCGATAGGTTCCATTTCCCAGAAAAAGAGGTACAGAAAAAGAATCCAGCTGCATAGCGCTCGGATCCGGTTCGGGTTTTACCAGAAAAAACAAAATCAAATTAAAATCTTAACCTCCGATTTCTTTATCCAAAGGGTTGTAGGAGTATGTAACAAGCTCCCCAGCTGTGTGGCTGAAGCCGATACCCTGGTTTCGTTCAAGAAACAGCTGGATAATCCACCAAATCCTATAAAAATACCAATCGGGCTACATCATTTGGATCGACTTTTGATTACAATGGTTCTTATGTTGTTCAAGAGAGAATGATTCAAGTCAAATAGTCCCCCTACATGCCTCTTCACAACTTACTCCCCTCAGTGAAGCTGGGATACAGGTCCACTTGTGCACTGAAGTCTCCAGCACGAAAGTTACTGCAGTAAACCCACACAGTACTTCAGCACTGGGTACTAAGCAGTGGTTCCGTATGCCTGTAAAGTTGCCATCCGTCATAGTTTGAGCTGGCAGACAAACTCCCTAAACACCCCGTTTTGCAAATGAGTGTCACTATCTGTGTCTGTGACGGAACTGACCACAAGATGACCCCACCGGGTGACCCAACCACCACCACCTCACCATGGGGACATGCGATGCACTCACACTAAGCAAGATGCGTTTGTCCAGGTCTTGTGTGTGGCGAACATACTGCCCCTGCCCGTTTGCACCAAGTCAGTATTTTACTTTGTGCTGAGTAAACCACAGCAAGCCTTCAGAAAGGCCGCTGTCGCAGTTCACTTCAGCCCCTACACTCACTCAGCTCTCCGTCCCCCCCGCCTTCCACAGCCCGGAGCAGCTGCTGTTGACCCGAGGCTAGGTAGAG